TAAATTTCTATGAAATCACTCAGTTTAATTACTTAAATGAAAATTAAGAAAATTGCAACAATATGTATTTGAAAATACAGAGAGAGTGGAGGAAGGTTTAATTAACCACATATTTATAACACATTGTAGAAATTTTATTTTCAGAAAAATAAGAATCACACTTAGTAAAAAAAACATGTATTATTATGGAATTTTTTTTCGTGGGGAAAAGCTATTTTTATCTACACGAATAACTATTGTTTCTAAAAATAATATCTAACGGATAAAACCATCAAACCGATAATACTTAAAGAGAATTTCATGCGGATTACCATTCAATGTAGGTATGTTTAAAAAATGCATAAAAATTTGGCATTTCTGGGGTATAAACGGACATAAATTTTTACCAAAATAACTGAAACTGAAAAACGAGAAATCTGTTTGCTGCACGTGGATGACTACTTACACGGACAACAAGAACAAAGTTATAATTTAAACTATCACTTTAATTAGAATTTTTTATATTAATAATAATAATTGTAAGATTTATTTTAGGTTCTTGCCTCCGCAAGGAGTCATAAATACTGCAGTTTTTATTTTGCACGGCACCTACAGTTGCCTTCTACTTTTATTTGTTAATTAAGATCTTCCAGATTGTGTAGTTTTGAAGCTCAGGTCAGCTTGTCTTGATAGTTCAAATTGCAGTTACCACCTCTTAGCGCTTCTTGAATGACCCCTTAATTGGTAAATAAACCAAGTATAACCGAAATTAAAACCACTGTTTACGGGCACAATTAAACAGGATTTGTTTTTTAACCACTTTCGTGTTACCTAACACTTTTCTCCCATCTGATACGGTCAAGACGGAACTAAGACAAAATCGAAACGGAAAATCCGGACCAGGAGTATGTAATTATGTAAGGACCGGAACGTCTTTGGAATTTAGGACGGCTTCCTGTCTGTGCTGATTCTTATTTGCCCATGACTTATGCTTGGCCTACTTGGAGGCTCCGGTCCGTTATATTTCGCAGTTTACTCATCGTCATCAGAGAGCCGCGTCTTAAGTGAAATTGTATTTTGCCTCTTTGTTTACTCACAATTTAAGCCCGCTTACCTACTTAACTCTTTATAAAATCACTGGAATTTGTAAAATGATTCTTACTGGCTGCGGGCAATTTATCTAATAAACTACTCAAAACTGGATGCGGATATTGCTGTTTTTGTTCAAGCAGTTGAGTGATAGTATATTGTGTTACTTAATTAAACAATATATAAATTGGTTGTCGTTTGAAATGTACAGTTGAACACTCTTTATCAGTGGTTTAATGAATGTAACCTATTTTAAGCTTTATGCATACGGGTTAACATTAAATTTTATAATGTATCCTCTAATTTGTTTTAGAAATTTATATAACGGACATTTAAAACTGGTGATGTCACTTCAATTTTTAATAACAAAATAAAATGCTTTTTTCTAAAATGTACAAAGTGCCTATTCTTACTACACTACACTGATATGGAGGATCGTAATTTGATGAAAAATATTGGGAATGGTTTCGACTAAATATCCCTACCAACAGTGCGATGACGTCACCTCAAAATTTTGCATAGTAAATGTTGTTTAACGATAAAAGAACTGTATTACCTTATCTCTTGTATTTAGTAAATTTGTAATGGTAAGAAAATTATTTTAATAGAATTTCCCACGCTGTTGAAGGACAGTCTGTTAAATAAGTTCTGTATCTTAGAAAAATTTTAAATTTTGATTGCGCAAATTTTATTTTTTGATTGCTAATATACAGAATGTCCCAGATAAAACTCCGCAGTTTTACATATTGAAAATTGAAAATTGATAGGTACATTGGAATTCTGTAAAAGCTATTATTTTGAGCTTGAAGGAGGAAGTTTAATTTGGTACATTACACAATATGACACATATAACTTATAAATTGTTTAAATGATTTTGATACATAATGACGATTACAGTGACATTAAACACGTTTCTTATTTGTGTTTATTTTGTAATAAAATTTATGAACATAAAAAATTGAAGTTGAGTGAAATAACGTACTATCGTTGAATTTTAAAAACAATTAGCAAGATGTTTTTCAGTCTTTAAATATATGTCGTCCGTGTTAAATCATTAATTAATTCACACAAGGGTCGTAATAATATATATATGATCACAAAAATAAATCTAAGAGCGTTAAATCTGGGTTGCGAGGTTAGGTATAAATATTTTTCAGACTTAAAAAATTCAACCATTTGTGACAAAAAGCAAAGAAGTTCAAGATTTCTGACGGGAAAAGGGAACAGTTGTAGCTTAGTTGTGTTACTACTAGAAATTGAAAAAAGTTAGAGACTAAAGTTGTACGGTTCTTTGAGCAGCATACTCCAAAATTGTTTTTGACTATACACAGTGTTTTGTTTTCAAGACATAGCACACGATTTAGTGTTTCTGAATAGAATGTCTTACATAATTTTTCAAATCCTTGTTAGTCTTTTGCTGAGCTTTAAAACACTGGTTTATTTTTGAAATTTGGATGCTATTAAATTTAAAAAATTTTTTTTAGCAATGCAAGAGTTCACAAAAACATCACAATAATGCTATTTTTAAGATCTGTATTGCAATATTTATGAAATTTCAATATACAGAGTGTTTATAAACAAAATTAAACGTTACAAATTTCATATACTGATGTTTCATGTTTCTTCAAATAGGAGACCCTGTATTTTATTACAGCTTCTTACTTTATTTTTTGTTCTCGTTCTTTCAATATGTTGGTGTGTTCGCTAAATAAAAAAAAATCTCAATAATAGTTATCGACGTTAACTACGTAACAAAAAAGAAAGAATAAAAAACAGAATAAGATGCAATAATAAAATTGAGAAAAAGTTATTAAAAAATAAAATTGAAATTTCGATATTTGAAAATCGTTATAATTTAAACTTTTTTATAAACACTCTGCCTATTAAACCCCAATTTTAGAGACACCACAATAAAGCGCCTTTCCAAATTATAGTGTAACCCAGATTATAAAAATTACCCTAGTCCGATTTTTTGGGAACATTTTCATCGCTCAAAATTAAAATTTCAAGAAAATTAGAATGATTTATCAATCTCGCATTGAAATTTCGAAAATAAACTATGGTGATAGAGCCTAAGAAGGGGTCGATCAGAATATATAAAAACATATGGGGTATTTGGAAAAACAAAATTGTGTGTTATGCCTTTAAATCAGAATACTCCGTATATTTGAAAATAAATTTATTATGTGGTCCTTAAAGAACTGTACAAATTTAGTCTCGAAATATTCTGTCATTAATTTTGATGAGTGCCGTTAGTGACTCATCCTGTATATGATTAGATATATCTGGTCATATTAAGAATTTGTATTATAATCGTAATTTAATGATCCATCAATATATAGGTAAATATAAAGAATATATACTAAATTAAGCTGCCCCCTTCAAGCTAAAAACAATAGCGTTTACAGAATTTCACATGATATAGAGTTGCGGAGTTTAATCTGGGACACGCTGTATATAATGCATATACTTATTATGTTAAAAATAAGAGTGGAAAGTATTGTGAAAATATTTTCAACGTTGTAGTGGTAGAAATAAATATATCAATTCTAATATGGTAATGTGACATTAATAACAAAACAATATGTTTATGTAGCTAGAATTTTCAGAAAATTACATAAACCGTAATGGGAACTGTTTCATACACTATTTTTTAAACAATATGGAGATATAAATAATTTCAAAAAATGGAATCTGTCTCACGGATGGCTACTTTCGTGTTTTCTCGACGTTTCACGATTTCTAGAGTGTGAAAATATTATTAAAATTTTATAAAATAAAATATACTCCTATACTTGTGGTTCATAAATCACTTGAAACATACGCATAGCACACTTCTGTACTTTTACTTTAACATGGATTAGTAAACCACATCTAGAGAAATATAGTATTTTGCACATTTTAATTTGTTTGTTCTCAGCAAAATTTTGAAATGATGTCAAATTTTTGAGTAAGAATTATCAAATAAGTATATTTTGGTTTACGTTGTATCATCTACAACATATTATTAAAATATGTACAGAAGTTCACAGCACTTGCTCTAGTAGTTTCGGAAATTGTCTATCTAATAAAATCGCCAACAGCGACAAACGGAAACGGGCGACCTACTTATTCAAATCAAGGAGCTAAGAAACGTCGAGAAAACATGAAATTAGCCATTAGTCAGATAGAGCTTCTTACTGTATTTCTCTGGCTTACTCTCGGGAGGTAAAAAAGAATGAAAAAATGCATTAGTGACATAATTATTTCAGAAAAGGACTTGGATTGTAAAGTTGACGGCTACTCCTAAAATGTGTATCATTTTAATCAACAAATTGACGTAGTTAAGTTGTTTTACTAAAATATGTACAGCGTGATCAACAATTACTGTTTCAGTTGGTATCAACAAATTTTGATTGCGCGTTTCAAGTCCAATTGCTGGCGTTGTTCGTTAAAGGTTATTATATTCTGTGAATGTTTTGTGAAAATTTAAATAATTCTATAAATTATACATACAAAATTTGACAATCGGTTTAGTAATTTCGGAGATTGTCTAATAAAAATCGATATAGACGGACGGAAACGGGCGACCTATTATTTCGTACTCTAGGAGTTATGAAACGTTGAGAAAATATGAAAGCAGCGATTTAAGTGTAAAAAATCATTCAGATTGCTGTTCAGTTTTACATCCTTTCCATTACATGTACCCCGTCCAATTGGCATCTCAATTGTCCATCGACAATAATGCGACTTTACTTATTGTTGTATCCAATAATTTCAGGGTAAATGGAAAAAACATTTATAAAACCCTGTATAATATGTATATAAATACTACAAAGGAATTTTGAAAAAGTAATATTACTATTTCCAGCATGTTAAGATCTATTGTTGTTTTCTTGATTAATAAATTCTTTAACTTCGCACAATTCGCTTTGATTCCATCAGCAACTTACCACAAAATGGAATTCCTTCCGGCAACCATTGCCCATTCTCACACACTCTTCTCGACGGCCCTAATAGCTCAAACCCTCGTTCACACGAATACGTCGCCACTGCCCCAGGTCCGAGATTTTCGTCGGAAAACACCACTGATGAATGCGCTGGAGCTCCCGGAAACCTGCATCCTATTTTCTCGTCTCCATTTATTACTGAAAACATAATTCCAATGAGTCATCGTAACAAGGTGAAAGTCGAGGTTAACAAAGTCATGAATGTAACCCAATATTTGAATAAACTGCTAACTTGGTGTATCACAAGTTTTTAATGTTTATCATAGGTTGACGAACGCATACGTCAGACCGCAGCGTCTTGAATGTCGTTACCGGAAATGCAGCAGGTGGGAGGATGTAGAGCGGAACCATGAGTACTGATGCTTGGGTTTGGGTCGATATAATAACGAAAATTTAAAGAATTTTGGGTAGCACAAAGTAAATATAATTTTCGTTGCATTTGAGAGATTTCAATGCGATGTGAACCGACGAACGTGCAGTAGGACACTTTTAAGCCATTGTTTATAGTTTGTTTGAAAATATTTAAAATTAACGTTTTCTGCGTTTTTAGAATAAGTGAAAGATGTGGTATTAGCCAGATGTCGTAGCATACAAAACGTCAACACGGTGAACTTAAGCAACAGAGATCATCTGTTATAACAATAATTGATTAATATTCTGATGTAGTCTTTAGTGTACATTACGGTGAATTTCTTACATTCAAAATTAGAAATTACACGGTTGTTAGTATTGTTTCCAGCAAGAATCGTTACGCTATGTCTCTACAAAGAAGGGGAGAACTTAAACAAGTTCTATAGTATACACGACCCTTATTCATTATGCGTCCTTTTTTTCTGTGTCTCAAATTTTAGACTTCATGCGTTATTAAACTGTCTACTATACGAAAAAAATTGGTCTAAGATCAAAGTTAAATGAATTTTTGAATCTTTTTCAAAAATCTGGATGTCTAGGGTAAAAAATTGGGCAAAAGGAAGTATAGTCTGCCAAGGGATATAGTGGTTTTTTGATTTTGACATTTTTAAACGTTTAGTTCGCGAACAAAAAATGACTTAAGCTAATAAAAGATAAGCTGCCCGTTTAGGGGAAGCGTTTCAGCCAAATACAGCAATGCGCTGCTATTTAAGTTTCGTACGGTGTCAAAGTCATAAAACCAGTGTATTTTTTGACACACTTTACTGTCCAAACACTTTAGACCAATTTTTCCCCAACAAAAACTCAGTTTTACTAGCGTAATTCTGACGAATGTATAAATTGGATTCTCTTGGCATGTTGCAACTCATAGAATACGATAATGAAAATTTATTGCAATAATCATGCACGAAGAAATAATTAAACGCATTGCTGGTAATACGAGTCTAGCCGTTTCGCTAATTTATTATACATACTGTACATGACTGCAAATTGAATTATGAAAAATGTAAATAAAAAATGCGTTTTGTTCAATTCCAATGGACAAAGGGAGAGTATATTTAGGATATTTTTAAATCTTTTCAGAAGCTGGAGTTCACAGTGGTTTAAGCCTTGAATTATACATTATGAGAGAAAGGTTCTTTAGCAAGAAGTGGAAAACCACAAATTTGAATCGCTTTTCAACTACGCATCAATCCGGTAACGACTGTTGAATTAAGTATATCACTTTTGTTTTCTAACATAGGTTATTTCAGATTTTTAGAAAACCTTGCTTTCTCTATTAATTTCAAAATGATCCGATTCCAAACATTGCAAAATTGATAATTTAAAAATTGGAAAATTACAATATTTCAATTTTTAAAAAAGTCTAAGATTTATATGTAGAATGACTTGACGCACAATGAATTGTCTACATTAGTTTCGTAAAAACTCGAATTCGGCTGAAAGATATTTCATTTTGGTGCTCATTTTCATAATGAGCACCAAAATTTTAATTCAGTGGTTTTTGTCAGACAAATTATCACCTGTGCATTCCGTTATTTTGTGCTAGATGTCATCTAATTTATTGCACAGAATACCTCTTTTGTCGCATTCGGAAATATTTATAACCTTGCCCACGATCTCATTAAAAAATCATGGAGATATAATTATAATGATTTAATTAGAATAAATTAATTACTTATTAATTTATTAGGTTAGATGTTGCAGTAAATCTAATTTAATGCCTTTCTGATGTTTAACAGCTCATAAAATAGAAAAAATGCAGGTTTTCCCCGTTCTGTTTTCTGTTACAAAATTTTGAAGAGGTAGTTTTTAAAGCTTGTCGTAGTCGAACGTTACTACTATTCATCCCCTACAAAAAAGTTATGACGTCATCTCAAATTATAAATCAGTAAATCTTATTTTACATGTGATGTCTAGTATTTATGCTCTCATACTTAACTGAAGAGTCAATTTTTACCTTAATTTTTTTATTTTTGAAATCATAAGGCAACAGTCTCAAGTTATTTTAATTTCACCAAATAAATAATGTTAAAACTAGTGGTGCATATAACACACACCGGATTTTTTTACTTGAATTCTTCAATTTTAATTTATTAATTTATTTAATTTTTAGAGTTTTCAATTTGTAGTTTTTAATTTTTCGATTCTTTAATTTTTCATTACTTCAAATGCTCGATTTTCAATTTTTCGGTTTTTCAACTTTTAGATTTTTTATTTTTCATTTTTTCAATTTTAGATTTTTCAGTTTCCCGAGTTTTCTTTTTTCGTTTCTTCAAATTTTCGATTTCCAATTCTTCGTTTCGGTCTTTTATTTTCTTAGTTTTTTCAAGTTTTCGGTTGTTCAATGTTCTGATTTTTAATTCTTCTTTTTTTCAATGTGGAATTTTTCAATTTCTAGATTTTTGATTTTTTGATATTCAATTTTTCGGTTTTTCATTTTTCACTTTTTCGATTCTTAAGTTTTCATTTCTTCAAATTTTCGATTTGCAATTTTTCGTTTCAGTGTTTTATTTTCTTTATTTTTTCAATCTTCCGGTTTTTCAATGTTCTGATTTTTAATTCTTTTCTTCTCTTTCCCTATATGAAAATTTTCAATTTCTAGATTTTTCAATTTTTCGATTTGCAATTTTTTAATTGCTCTGATTTTTAATTCTTCTTTTTTTCAATATGAAATTTTTAATTTCTGGGTTTTTGATTTTTCGATTTGCAATTTTTCGGTTTTTCATTTTTTTTTGGTTCTTCAGTTTTTCGATTTAAAATTTTTCGAGTTTTCAATTTTTAATTTTTCACTTTTTCGATTTTTAAGTTTTCATTTCTACAAATTTTCGATTTTGCAATTTTTCGCTTCATTTTATCAATTTAAAATTTTTCAGTGTCTCGAGTTTTCAATTTTTCGTTTCTTCAATTTTTGCTTTGCAATTTTTCTAGTTTTCATTTTTAATTTGAAACAATAATAATAATTAAAAAAAATCACTTTTTTAATTTTCCGATTTTAGAATTTTTCCAGTTTTTCAAATATTGGATTTTAAAACTTTTCCATTTATGTATTCGATTTTTCAGTTTCTGGATTTTTAATTTTGTAACTTTAATTTTTCAATTTCTCGATATTTCATTTTTCAATTTTTCGATCCTTCAGTATTACAGTTTTTCGACTACGCAATTATGACCACTCCAAAATTTTTCGTTTTTTCAGTTTCTGGGTTTTCCAATTATTCGATTCGATTTATTTTTTCTTTCCAATTATTCGATTCATTAATTTTTTTAGATTTTTAAGTTTCTCGATTTTTGGTTTTTCAATGTTTCAATTTTACGTTTCTTCAGTTCCTTGACTTGCAGTTTTTGATTTTCCACTCAATTTTGCAATTTCTCGGTTTTTTAATTTTTCAGATGTTTTAGTTTTTCGATTTTTTATTTTTCTATTTTTCGATTTTTCGGTTTTTCAATTCAATTTCAATTTTGAATAAAAGAATTGAAAAAATGCAAAATTATAAAATTGAAAAATCAAAAATGAAAAAACAAAAAAGTAATAAATAAATTAAACACTTTGAAAAAAACTGGAAATTAAGAAGTTGAAAAAGTGAATAAAGGAAAAACTGAAAAATCGAAAGATTAAAAATTGAGAAACCTAAAAATCGAAAAGGGCAAAATCTGATAACTGAAATTTTTAAAAATTGACAAATTGAAGATTTGAAAAATTGAATAAACGAAAAATTATAAAACTGAAAGAAACATCAAGGAAATGAAAAAAGGAAACATTGTGATATAAAATCGAGAAAAAAAAATAAAAAATTGGTACAATATAAAATAAAAATCAAGAACTTGAAAAACTGACGAATCGAAAAATTGAAAAATTGTAATAGCTAAAAATTGCAAAACTGAAAAATTGGAAAGTCAAGAAATTGAAAAATTAAAAAAAATTGAGTTGAAAAAATGAAAAATTGTGACATTAAAAAAGTGGTCCAGGATTCCAAATTCTTCGAGAAATTATAAGATTTGATTTTGCGAATTTTATTTTTTATGATAACTCATATAAGTTAAATAAAGATATGTATGTAATGTTAAAGTAAATGTTAGGAAGCATGCTAGGAATTGGTTTCAAGTGAGTTTTTCATGACAAAATTTTGTGATGACGTCATTAACATTTCTGCAGGGACGCGTATATCAATTTGGATAGATGCAGTTTAATACCAATAATAACAATATTTTATTCCGAAATTTTGGGAAAATGACGTGAATCGTACTTGATTTTAATCAGTAGAATAAATTGCCTCATTTATTAATTTTTTCGAGTCACTCTGTATAAGTACTAAAATCTATGAGTGAATTGATAAACCACAATTATAAAGTAATATTCTGCATATTTCAGACAGCATTTATTAAGCAAAGTTTTACTATGACGTTATCATTTTTTAGATGGAATAAATGAATAAATTTCGATTAACGATTTACCATGATTAATGTAAAAATGTTTAGCAGTTTCAAAGTAGTTAAATTGAAAAGTGTTATACGATTTTGATTTTTTTTTCCAAAAATCTGTATGACTGAAAACGGATTCATAAATCACATCTGAAGGATTATCTTGTTTTTAAAATTGAAATAAAATTTACTAATGCAAATTTTGTACATGACGTCATCCTATTGTTTGTGGGGATGTTATCCAAATTTTGATTAGTATTTTACCACACAATATTCATGATCATAATACACAATACATGTAAAATTTG